GAAAGTAAGCCCTGAACACAGCTGTTTAAAAATCAACTTCGCTAGTCCCATGTAGACCAGCCCAGGAGTGACCCACAGGTGGCCCATGGGCTTCCCTGAGAGTCAGACAAAAGTCTCAAAATTTCTTCCCAAACCTTTTGTCTGCCACAAATGATGCTCCCACTAGCGGAGCCCACCACCCAAGGCTTCTACGTCTCACTAAACTTTTAGTTCCTCTTTATTTGGATTCTTGGTTCCCTCTAAGCCCTCCCCACACGCTGTTCCCTCTGCTGGGAACACTCCTCACCACCCCACGGCCCTCCCCATCCTGCAGGTCCTAGCTTCAGTGTTCCTTCCTGGGGAAGCCCTACCTGACCTTGAGCATCCCCCCATCACAGCTCTGTCTATAGGTCCTCTACCACAGTTCTGCCTCTGGGTTGCTATCATGGCTCCCACTCATGTGTCCATCTCCCTCACAAACCAGAGTCTCAGAAAGGCCAGAACTATCTTGGTTATTGCATAGGGCAAGCACACAATAGGTGCCCAATGAATGCTCATAAAATGAATAAATGAGACACAAGGCCTCAAAACTTACTGGTGTCTCCTGACCTGAAAAATATCAAATAGACAGACTAAAGGCTCAGAAAGAGTTGCACCTGAAACCCCAGAAGCTCAGTTTCCCTATCGCTTGTGTGTGAACCACAGCTAGGACCAAAGGCCTGGTCATCCCACCCAAGGCTCGGAGGGTCATTGCCCCATTTTACTGGCCAGAAAGCTCAGGCTCAGAGTTGGGATAAGCTTGGGTTTGACTAACTCCACCCTATCCATTGCTGTGGCCTCACCATGTCAATGACCATCCTGCGCAGACTCAGCCGCTGCTTGGTGCTGAGGTTCTGGAAGATGTCACAGTTCTCTGCTTGCAGCAGCTTGAAGCCCACGGCCAGGTGGTGGTTCTCCAGTACAGAGGCATCATTGTACATAAGTGCAAGCTCCGAGTCTGGTGGGTAGTTGGAAAGCCTCAAGATCTGCCCACTTAACTCACTCCACAAACAGGCAGGTTTGGCAAATTCTTGGCAAACTCCTACTCATGCATTGAAGCCCCAACTCTAATGCCCCCTCCTCCAGGAAGCCTTCTAGGACCCTGTCTCTCTCTCCGGACATGCCCTGACTCCACAGGACTGGGGGCATCTGTGTCTCCTTGAGACTGGGGGATCCTTAGGGACTTGGCATGGCAGGAGACAGTGTGTACTGAGTGCTGGTCAAATGAACAACTGAGTCTTCATCTATTTAGACTCTGGGATCCTCAAGTGAAAGGGCTCTACTCTCATCCCTAGCTTTCTTGGGATATATATATAAGAGGTGCCCAATAACTGCTTATTGACTGAGTTTTTCAGATACCTAAAAGGACCCCAAACTTTAAAATCTCAGTGGGCCCAGATCAGCTCTGCCACATTTGTTATTCTCTCATTTATTGAATGTCTACAGTGTACCTGGACCAGCTCCAAGCACCCAAGGGAGGAAAGATTGTCACAGCCATTTCACGAACAGGGAGACTAGGCTCAAAGCAGGGATGGGACTGCAGGAGATCACATGATTGACAGGTGGCGGCAGGGCCCCCTGACTCACTGGTGTTAATGAGAAACTGGTTGGAGACCCCAGGATGGTCCACATCATGGATGGCGCTTGCAAAGATGGCAGCAAGAACTTCTAGGTCTGTGAACACAGCCTGAGCAGGCACGGAAATAAAAGGTGAGGGGCGGCTTCTCTGCACCCTGTACCTGCCTGGGCTGCCCATAGGGCCATACCTCGAGCGCAGGTGTGGCCAGCAGCACATGCGTGGATTGGGCCACATCAGCAGCGTGCAGGCTGTTGTGGTAGGCCACATTGGCGTGGTAGTGACCCTCCAGAGTCAGCAGGTAGGTGACAAGGGTATCTGCTGGGATCTGAAATGTCTTGAGCAGGTCCCGTTCCTGGTCCATGACAGGCCCCTAGTCAGGACCTCAGCCCCTGGGTAGCAGCATACGCTCTTAAAAAGCTCTTCCTAGCCTTGTCTCCTGAACTCATCCATCTCACCAATTCCGCCCCCTTTCAGGATGCCCTCAATTCTGAACTCACTTGGTCTCTGTCCTTCCTCTCTGGTCCATCCCTGACCCCCACACCTATTCGCTCTAAATTAGGTCTCTTTGGGCCTGGGCCCAGGGCTGAGGCTTACTGACAATCATCAATGAAGTGTTCAGAATAGTGAATTGCTTTTCATCCTTCAATGCCCGATCGAATGATCCCCTTCAGGAGTATTAGGGAGGAATTGAAGTATATGTGTCCCTTGAGGTCTTGAGGAAAGGGTGAAGGAAACCCAAGAGTATTGGAAGCCAAGGGCACAGGAATTACCTGAAAGATGCTGAATATGATGGCTGTGAGGGGCTGGTTCCCACTTAGCTCTGCCACCTTGAACACGTCAAGCCCCCACTTATTGGTGTCTTCTAGTTCCTAAAATTTGAAGAACGGGAGCTTGACCCCAGCCCAACTTCCCCAGATTCTGGACCTACGACCCCCTCTCCCAGGCCCCAGGCTGTATATTTAGCTCCACTTGCCCAGTATACAGGTGGGCACACTGAGGCCCAAGATAGGACATCCAAACAGATCCAGGACTCAAACCTGGGTCTCAGCATTCCAGTTGGGGACCCACCTTGGCCAGTTGCCCCTCTTGGTCAGTCTGGACTCCAAAACGTGGAACAGCGGCTGTGGAGAGGCTGGCACTGTGGGGGAGCCCACGTAGGCCACTGATCTGGGACATGGGCCTCGGGAGCTCTGTGGGGGTCTTCCTGGGCAACTCTACCTCAGTCTGCTGATCTGTAGCGGGGACGGGGTGGGGCTCAGAGAAGCTGATTCACCTGCTAGAGTTGTCCTGCCTAGCCTCAGGTCTCAGATTTTGCCAAGCCTCCAGATCAACCTATTTCATTTTCACCTGGATCAAAGTGAGCCCGGAGTAACGTCTTTGTCTGGACTATAGTCTCTTCCTCTGTTCATGGCGGACCTCCATGAGCCTTTCTGCTGGACACGGCCCTCAGGGCTCAATATTTTTCTCCAAACAGCCAATGTCCTTTCCATCTCCCAAGCTGGAGACCCAGCTGTCTGGTTTCCTCCATCTCCTCCTTGGAAAACTACTCATGCTTCAAAATCCTAACTTTAATGTCCCCCTCCTCCTAGAAGTTCCTCCTGTTCCTTTCCCTGGTCCAGCCTTCACCTATGTAGCTGGGGGTGTCCGTATCTGGCTCTGTCTCCCTCAGATTGATGTCTGTAATAGTCTTTCTTTTCTTCTTTCTTCCTACCTCTGTAATGTTGCCCAGGCAGTGACCCACCACAGCTCACCCAGGAAGGTTCGGGAGATGTACTCGGAGACCTGGTTCCCGGAGCGGCTGGTTTCAGATAGGTGAGTCAATTCGAGGGGGCACTGTGGGCAGAGGCAAGAGATCATGGCTCTCTGGCCCTCCTCACCTTGTTGGAGGCCATCTCCCCCACCGAGTGCCGCGTCTGCAGGGTCTCCAGCTGATCCAGACACCAGTCCAGCTCATCCAGTGTCTCCAAAGCCAGCTTCTGCCCAGTGTCCTCTGGGGGCTGAGTCAGTCAGGGGCCTGCCCTGCACCCACTCTGGGACCCTGAACCCCTCATGCCTCCATCTCTACATCTATACCCTGGAGCCTTTCCCAGTGGGGCCACTCAGGACCCCAGGATTTGAGTTGCAGATCTGTCCCTAAATGGCTGTGTGACCATAGGCAGGTCTTTACCCTTCTCTGGGCCTCAGCCACCCCATCTGTACTATGGATGTGGTAGACTCCATCTCTGAGGGTGCTTTGGGGAGTTACAATGAGCACAGCTTAAGAACTCATTGGCTAGGAAGGTCACCATGGAGAGGAACTTCACAGCTGTCCCGCAGTGGGAGGAGGGGGTAGGAGCAAGCACATTACCTGTAGATGGAGGGGGCTGACTGCCAGATGGGGCGTTCCCGACGGATGCCTTCCTGCAGTACAGCCGGTTCAGGGGTGGCTCGCCATGTGGTTCCGCCCCCACCCAGCCCACCTGGTCTGTTGGCCCCGGCCCCGCCCTCCGCCCTGTCCTCTCTCCAACAGGCCCCGCCCCAGTGCTGCAGTTGTTGGCCCTGACTCTCTTTTCCAGGCCCCGCCCCGCCCACCCTCTGCATACTTGGATGCCTTGCCGCTTTGCAGGTGGGCTAGCACTGAAACGTTGCTCCGAACCGTCCGCAGACTGGCCAGGACCTGTCGGGAGGGGGATGATCAGCACTGGAAAGGGGAGAGGTCGACGCTTCTGTCTGCTTGGCTCACACGGGAAGTGGGGAGGGGTGGACACCCACCTGGGCAAAAGGTGTCACAATCATGTCTTCTCCATGTCTGTGGGGAGATGGGATATCAGGAAGGGAGGCCAAGGAGACCTCCCGCGCATTCCCATCTTTCAGCTTTTGCCCAGACTATACCCTCAGCGGAGCACGTCCTGCTTTCACGACTCCTTCAGGTGCCCTACTGGTCCCTGGGCTCCTCTCACTCAACTCTTCCCTGGAACAAACCACAGCCCCTCTGACCAATCACTCACTTTATCCCAGTCTCACAAATGAGGAAACTGAGTCCCAGGAGCAGCAAGGGTCTTAGAAGCAAGACAGATATTATTATATTTCCCTTTTCATTATGGCTACCAGGAAGCTCAAATCAAGGTGTTTGTTCAATTGCTGCTAATTGTCCTTAATGCTTTTGGATTGCCACCCAACCCTAGCCCAAAGTCAAGCACAGAAGAACACCAGATATCATTCTAGGTATACTTGACTGAATAAGTGAGCTGCCTGGAAAACTCCTACTTAAACTTCAAAGTCTAGCTCAAATGGCCACTCGAAGGAAGTGTGCTGAATGGAGAAATAAAGGAAGGAAGGAGGAAAGGACAAGGAGGTCATCCCACCAGCCTCAGACTCACAGGTCGCTGGCCACAGAGGAGTTCCGGGACATGGCCTTAGGTGAGAGTTCATAGTCGCTGTCTGACCGGTACAGGAAGGACTCCCGCCGCTGGCTGTACTGGGCAGAGGTCTGAATGACCTGGCCAAGGCCAGGCCCAGCCTGAGAGTCCAGGGCACTTCTCCCACAGGAAAGCCCATTTTCTAAGTCAAAGCTAGAAGTAGAAGAGATGTGGTCAGAGTGAGGGTCCTGACAAGCAGATGGCTGGTGGTGGCCTGCATCTATTCTGTCTCCTTTGGTCCACATGGTGGGCCGTGCAGTAGCTTATGGTTTGTCCACCTATCCCACAGTCACATCTTAATCAAAGACCCCGCATCCTCACTCCTTAGTTGCCACATCTGTACCCAGAGTCGTCCCACTGGGACCAAACTGGACTCCAGGACGTGAGTTTCAAATCTCTCTCCAAGTGGCTGTGTGTGTGACCATGGGTAGGTCTCAGCCTTTCTCTGTACATCAACCACCCCATCTTTAACATGGGCATGGTAGACTCTTCCCAAGGAGCTTTTAGCGAGTTGCAATCAAGCACCTGAGGACGACAACTGGATGCCAGTATTACTGAGGAAGAAACAGAGGTCCAGGTCACATGGTGAGTTCACAGGGACTGGAAACAACTTTCTGGACTCCTCTCTCTGGAGGGGCCTGGGTCCTGCTTAGATTCGGCCAGTTGCCAGGCTCCCCACAGCCAGGAGAAGCACTGGCCCCAGCTAGCTTTGGCCATGCCCTGGATCACCTGTCCCCATTCCACAGCCCGGGGCCCCACCCTCAGCCCACAAGACCCCGCTCCAGTCACGACCTCAGATCCCCCACTCCCTGCTTCATTTTCGACCAAATGCTCTGCCTGTTCTCCTACCCCTCCTGGCCTTTGCCGGAGTTGTGCCCTCTTCCGGGAGCACCACCCTCCCCACAACGCCCCCTGCTCTGGGGCAATCTCCAATCCCCCACTCCCAGCTCTTTCAACCAAGTCCCTCCCACCCGCCACACCTTGACCGGGTAAGGGAGATCTATGTTCATCCTCCTGTGGGTCAGAGGTCAGTGTGTGGGAGAGAACGTGGGGCGAGAACCGAGACGCGGGAGGGAGAGTTAGCAGTAGGGCAGAGGGGTCTGCCTATGGGTCACGGGCATTGGGGGGGGTGGGAGTGGGGTAAGAAGGAGACAAGGAGATGCTGGGGACCACACACGACGTGGGGCTTCCAGCCAAGGGCCAGCGTCCACTTTGGCCCCTGCCAGGTCACCCCATCCGAGATTCAGTGGGATTATCTCCAGTTCGGCTGGATTAGGGCCCGCTCGGTCAAACTGGGCCGGATTTGACTAAACTCTATCTGATCAAACGGGATTGGACCTGGTCCCGCTAAGTTTGGTTGGGTGAGTTCGGTAGAATTTGGCTACGTCCGACTACTCTCGAGCAGGTTCGAACGCGCTAGGGAACATTCGGCTATGTCCGGCCTCACTCGGGTAAATTCGAGAGCGCTCGGCTTTGTCCGGCCAGCGGCCTGTTCAGAGGCTTCAGCGGCTCCAACAGAAGCCCCTACCGCCCGGGCCTGCAAGTTCCCGCTTTGCGACGTCACTGGGAGGGCGGGGGTTCTTAACCCTTCCCTGCCTGGCGCAGGGGTGGGCAGAAGGACGCTCTTAGGGGCAGGCTAGCCATGGATACCCTAACCAGCCTTCCGAGGAGGCCTGGGGGTGGCGACCCTTCCCCCTCCTCGCTTCCTCCCAAAGGTTCTAAGAAAGCGCACCTATTGGATAGCTAGGGAAACTGAGGCCGGGAGAAGCCACAGGGTACTGGGTTCGAATCCAAGGAGCGGGCGCGGAGGGTTAAGGTCTGGTTGCGGCAGCTGTTTTTCTTTCTGCTCTAAACTTAGCTGGGAGCGATGAGGTCAGGCCGTGGTTCCATGACGCTGGCGGTGGGTCGAGGTCGCCCTGACTGTGGGAACCGCGTATCTGTCCATCGGTTAAATAGGTAAACTGAGGCAAAGGGCACTCCAAGGTATCCACTATCCTCCAGCCTCACCTTCTGAGACCGGCAGGCCCTCCCTCAACGCCTCTGAGCTCTCTCCCGAGCCTGGGCAGGGACTACCCTTCGCAGGTGTCTGGTGCCATAGAGGCGTTCTCCCAGACCCGGGCCCCCCCTCCCGGGCTGCAATGGCGCCATCACAGTCACGATTGCACCCACCTCCGCCAGGTGACTTTAGAGAAGGGATCTCCAGGCTCAGCCACCAGGTGCCAAGTTATTAAGGGGGTGCGAATGTAGCAAGAACTTGGTGCAAGGTTCCACACACAATCGGTGCCCACAAGCCCCACACCCGGCCCCAGTCTTGCCCCCATGCCCCATGCCCCATGCCCCACGAAGTCACAATCGCTTCCTGAATGTCTGGGATTCTAACCCGGAGCGCTGACGAGTCCTTGGAGGATACCACCAAGTGGGACTGCGCTGGTCCACTCTCAGCCTAAGACACGCAGCTCCTCTGTTACACTACCTACGCCCTGCCTCGAAGGCCCCCATCGAATCGGGTCTTCCTCTCGCGACATCGAGAGTTTCGTGTGAAGCCCCTAGACAAGGCATCCCCAACTCCCCACGCCCCCATCTCGCTGCATCCTGTAAGGAACCGGCCGCACAGCAGGAGGTAAGTGGTTGAGGGAACAAGCGAAGCTTCATCTGTATTTGTAGATACTCCCAGCGCTAGCATCACCGCCTCAGCTCCACCTCAGATTATCAGGCATTAAATTCTCATAGGAGCACCAGTCCCTGGTGCCAAAAAAGTTGGTGACAACTGTCCTAGGCGATCTCGTTGCCAGCACTGGATAGATGGAGAGGAGTAGACCAGGGAGAGAAGTGACCCTTGCTCCTCCCCCTCACCACCAGGACACTCAGGCCACCAGTCCCCAGCCTGAGGGTCAGGAGGAGAGGCTAGACTCAGCCTATCCTGCTCTGGGCCTCACAGCTGGAAAGGGACAGCCGGCTGGTCCCCCAGGCATGAATCCAGACAGTGTGTGGGGAGACAGAGATGGAAAGAGAGTCACCAACTGCAAGAGACAGATAGGACGGAGGAGAGATACCGCGAAAGAGTAGGAGAGGCAGAGCGTCCGTGCCCCGGCCCTCAACCCCGCCCCAGCTGTCCCCGACTGTGACTCTTCCAGCCCTCCTCTTGCCTCACCACAGCGGATGGGCCACGGTGAAGCGCCGCTGCAGGCGGATACTCTGGTTCACCAGGAGCTTCCTAAAGAGCCCGGGGGAGCCACGCGGGGAGTCCCGGGGGGATCCAGGCCCAGGGGCCAGGGCGGGCGCAGGTGGGCCCTGCATCGCTGGGACAGCGTGGAGGCTGCAGACAGCGCGGGCGGTGCGGGAACTTTTCTGGACAGCCTCGGGGGCGGGGCCGGCGGAAAGGGGGCAGAGGACGCACTCGCTCCGCCTCGCTGCTGGACCGCTCTGGGAGGTCCCCACCAGGATAAATGGGGAAACTGAGGCATGGAGCTGGGCTCCACTCTGCTCTCTCTCTTTGGGGGAAGGCCCCATGGGGTCTAGAATCCTGATCTTACAGCCACTTTCCTCTGCTAACATGTCCTACGACAGTGCTGCTTGCTGGGCTAACTTGGCTGAAAAGAATGAGATGCAGGAGTCAGAAAGAGACGTGCTCTCCATTGAGGGTCTGCCGAGAGGCTGCCCAGACAGTGCTTCCAGTCCCACTCTGCCCGTTTTCCAGGTGGAGAAACTGAGGCCCGGAGTCCCCAAGGAGCTCCCCGGAAACCACAAACTCTTACTCTTTTGCTAGACGGGGGAAATGAGGCATAGAGAGAGGTGGTAACGGATACAAAGCTTCATGCTAGGGCGGTAGGATGGAAAACCAGCTCCCCCTCCTCCAGGCCCCCTCCACAAGTCCCCATATAACCCCTGCCTGTTCTGACATTCCCCAGGCCCTATCTCTGGATCATTTTCCCTCTCTTGCTGTCTCCACTGGACAAACATCCGCACTCTATTCCCGCCAGACGTTCCGTTCTGTGAAGCATCAGCTGCCTCCCACTGTCCCAAGAAGGACCCAGGGAGGACCTGGAAAGAAAGGGAGGACTTACCTCTGATGTCTGAGGGAATTCAGGGGCCTATACCAGGTGCTTTACCCTTGGAATGCTAGGATTGGGGTGGCCCTGCCTCATTCTGCAAGAAAGGAAACCAAATCTGAGGCAGGACTTGGAGGCAGGACCTGGAATTCCCACATCACAAGCAGAGGCCACGGAGGTCCAGGGAAACTAGGCCTCCCAGCTGAGGCCACACAGATGCTCTGAGCCCAATTGTGCCCCTGCTGTGGGATGACGCCCCCCCTCCCCCAACTGCCTGGGCTTTGCCCCTGGGGACTGTACCAGTTTTGGGGCACCCACATTTCTGGCACGCTTAGGGGAATATGAGGTACAGCTTGGGGTAATCAGGGCTTCAATGGAGGACCCTGAGGCACCGCAGTGAGGAGATCCTGACCCTCTCCTGACCTCGCTACCATACTATTGTCCCTGTTCTACAGAAAAGAAAGTAGAGGTTCAGAGAGGGGTCACACTGGAGCGCAGGAAGACACAAAGTCCCAGGGGTCTGGCTGGAGCCCCCTTCAGCCCCCATAGGCCTGCAACCAGACACCTGGTGGGAACTAGACTCGCTGTCCCCAAGACAAAAATACCATCTGTAGTTGCTGTGGCTGCACCTAATTATAGCCGGTCTCCAGGGGATAGAGGCTGCCAGGATGGGCCTGGTGGAGACACTGGGGCCAGGGTCCATCCAAGGAGCCTTAACACCACCCCAGCCTTGTGGGAGCGGCTTGTAATAGCCTCATGTGCCCAAGGAGAAACTGAGGCACAGAGGGATTCTGTTCCTCCCCTGAAATCACAGACAGGAAACAGAAAGTTAAAACTAAACACATCAATACAAATAGCACTTCCTATTGCCTGGCTCTGAGCCAAGGGCTGTGCATATAAAAGTCACTTGATTTTCAGAGCAATTCTCAAAAGTGAGGACTACTATGCTCATTTGGGGAATGGGGAAACTGAGGCACAGAGAAGTATGTTTATTGGCCCAAGGTCATATAGCCACGAGTGATAGGGCTGGTGGGCTCTCCAGGCTGTGCCCTCTTCCACTTAATGCTTAATGCTCATCCCCTCTGAAGTCCCAGAGGCTCCTCTGACATTAATATTTTATCAATAGTTTCATATTAATGTTTCATTAATAGATTCAATTGTAAATATTTTATTAACAGTTTTAACAGTCATGCGTTATTAATAGCTTTTTAGATGGAGAACCTGAGCCACAGAGATGAGACTCACCATTGGAATTCTAATCTGCCTGACCCTGGGAGGCCCCAAACCCTGCCAGGTAAGGGGCACAGGCTGAAGGAGGGGTGCATCTGAGTGCTGCATGACCTGAAGAGGTGCCCAGCAGTCTCTGGTTTCCCTTGCACATCACTGTCTCAATTCACTCCATTTGAGCATCCCTGCCCTGGGCAGGTGCTTTTCTCCTCTGCCACCAGGCAGCCCCAGCGAGAGGGGAGGTCCTGTTATGACCGTTTTACAGACAAACTGAAATCTGGAGAGGAGAAGTGACTTGTCCAAATTCCCGTGGAAAGTCTAGACAGAGAGAAGAGAGTGGGGGCTGAATCACATGTGTAGATGCTCACACAAGTTAACCTCACCCTCCTCTGCTCTAGACCCTCCCATGGCTCCCCATTGCCCTCTCATTTGAATCTACACCTCTCCAGGAAGCCCTGTGAGGTCTGACCCCTGCTGGCCACCCTGCCCCCTTCCTCTTGGCTCACTGTACTCCAGCTTCATCCCCAATCCTTGCTACTTCTTGAAACAGCCAGGCTCATTCTCATTCTGTGCCCTTTCCCAAACACTCTTCCTCTGCCACACTTAGGGGTCACAGCTGGAGCATCACCCCCTACAGGAAAGCCCTCCCTGATCAGAGCACCCTCCAGTCACAGCTACAATTTTACATTTAATTTTACAAATATTCATGATTATTTGATTTGTTTCTGTCTCACGACTAGCCCCTTGAGGGTAGGACAAGATCCAACCTTACTCTCAGCTGTGCCCTCAGGGCCTGGCACTCAGTAGGTGCTCAATAAATGCTTGAGAAATGAATAGAGAGCCTCCCTCCCACCCTCCAGCTCCACTGATCTGTATTCAGCTCCTCACACACCTGATCCTCTTGAGTCTGAGGCTTTGTACATTCTGTTTCTTCTAATTGACATGCTCTTCCCCTACAATCCCTCTGGCTGACTTCTCTTCATCCTTCGGTTTAAGCTTAGAAGCCACCTTTTCCAAACAATCCTTCCTCACTCTCTGCTCCCCAGTGCTGGATCAGAAGCCTCTGGGCTTCATAGCACCCCGATCTCTCCATTTTGTATAAGTCTGTCTCTACTATGAGCCTGTTGAGCACCTGCTTGCCCATGGCTGTATCCCAAGTACACAGTAGGTGGCTAATAAATGCTTGCTGAACAACATGCTAGGACCCTCCCAGATCCAGGTGATCTACCTGAAGCAGTGGAGAGAAGAGCCACAGTAAGAACCAGGCTCTGGCACAGAAAGTTCTCAACAAAATGCAGAAAGTATGGATGTGTGTTTGCATCTTACTGACACTTGGAAGTTCAGTGAAACACCTCCATTTGCTGGGGAGCACCCAGAAGATTAGCCTTAAACCCAGCATTCCAGAGGGTTGACCCCCCCACACACACAACATCAGCACATATATGCATGGACAGGATGCACGCACTCACACACTCACAGGGATGCACTCCTTCCAGAACTTTCCAGATCCACGTGGGCTCTCTCCCCAGATGGGCCCAAACCCAGTCTGTTTGTTTTTTCTTGAAGATGGAAAATCATGAGTCACTGGGGGTGGGGGGGGCAAGAGGAGCTGGGAGGTGGGGGCAGGGAGCCTGCTGGGTCACCTGGGAACAGCTCCAACCCCTCTGGACCATGGGGCCCAGCTGCTCCAGACACCTCCCAGGGCTGCTGGAAGGCCAGGCTGAGGGGGGAGGGGGTTAGGCTAGGCTTGTTGATCAAGAAGCCAGTGGCCCCAAGAGGTCCATGGACAAGGTAGGAGAAAATAAAGATCTAGAGAAGAAAGCAACTCACCAGAGGTCGCCAGCTTGGCCTAAAGCCCAGGACTCTAGATCTGGCCGTGTCTGGCCCCCCCTCCCACTCGAGGAGGCCTGGGGCTCCTGGACCCTGCTCCTTGTCCCTCAAGCCCTGGGCCAGCAGCTGGAGACTCCTGCCTCTACTCCGCAAAGATCCCTGTTTCACCTGCTGTTTGTCTCTGTCTCTCTCTTATTCTCCCCATACCCCTTTTATATGAAACAAGAGAAACAGCCCCTCCCCCACTTCTACTCCTCCTTCTCCACCCCATCCTTTCTTGTATGGAAGAAACACCCTGTGATTAGGATCCCCAAGAAGCTTCCCCTCCTTTTTCACGTGACATGGGCTGAGGCAGGGGGATGGTGGTGGCAGGACAGGCCACAGAGGAGGCTCCTCCCCCAGGGCTATGTACAGCCTGCCCTGGCCCTCTCAGATGCCAGCCATGGCCACAACTCCACAAACACTGGAGGACACTCCAGGGGCTAGAGGACCTCAACTGGGTTGAAGCGAAGACAGTCACACCCATCCACATGCCCACAGGCACCACAAGGGGAAACACACAGGCACATACACAACTGATGTACCCAGACACAAGCACTTCTGGTCACCCACAGAGATGCAGCTGTCTGTAGACATTCACACAGAAAGCTGGAGCACACACAAAGTGGCAACTGTTTAGACTCACACACACACTCAAATGCGACTGCACCTGGCACACCTGGGCACACACACCCATAAGCAATCATGACACCACCACCCCCAGCTCCACCCCACGTAAAAACAGCTTTTATCCTCCAAAGCACCAGCCTCAGCCAAGCCGCAGAGACCCCCACCTCCTGGAGAAGAAAGAACCCTCCCTCACTCCTGCCAGGCCCCGCGCGCCCCTCCCTCACGCCGCTGGAGGGCCCTGCCCCCGCCTACCTACCGCCTGTGGAAGGAGGTAGGCCAGGAGCGCCGCGACTTCTTGAGCCCAGGCTGCGGGCCCCAGTACCGCTCGCTGTGGCCCGCAGACTTGTCCGGGTCCGAGTGGAAGCGCTGCTGGATGTAGATGGGGCGCCTCGGCTGCCGCCACAGGTGCTTCGGGGATCTGGCTAAGCCTTGGAGGCTGAGAGCGAGGTTCAACTCACTGGATGCCTCAGCCCTTTCTTGGACCCCTGAGGTCTCCATACGCCAGAGGAGGGGAGCAGGGAGAGCAGGGTATGAGAGCCGTCCCCAGGAGCGAGGAGTGTCTGCGCCCTGGTCAGGCAAGGGCCGGGAGTGGAGGAGACAGCGAGCAGGTGTCTGTGCCGGGGGCACTGAGCGGGAGAAGGTAGAAACTGGGGCTCAAGGTGGTGCTGACACGGAGGAGCTGTCTATGCCCAGTGGTTCTGAAGGATAGTAGAGGAAAAAGAACTTGGGAGTAGGGATTGGAGACAAGAGCTAGAGAGAACCCCAGCCCCGAGATTGGTCTGCCGTTTCCTCCATTGCAGAACGAAAAAAACGTCAAGACATAGGCTTGGAGTGGAGAAGACAGAAGTTGTTCTCTCTGTTGCTGCCAAATAAAGATCAAGGAGACAGGGGCTTGGGAAACCCCGCAAAGCCAAGGCGCCGTTCTTCCTTTTGATGTCGAAAGGGAAGAAGATAGTAGATTCAGGGGCTCAGGGTGGATGAGACAGCGAGGAGCTGTCCTCAACGTGTAGGTGCTGAAGTCAGGAGTTCCAGAGCACCTTCAGACCAGGGCGCCATCCGCCCAGAAGGTGCTGAAAGCTGAACAGCGGCGGGTCCTCAACCCTTCCTACTGACTATAGCAAGAAGCAGTCTGGACGCAGAGTCGAGGGCTCTAGTCTTCAGAGGTAAGCACAGATGGCCATTCCTCCATCAAGCTCAGGATAGTAAGCTTAGCAGTTCAGCCCCAGATGGGGTCTCTTTGGAGTCCTAAAAAAACCCACCCATGCACGGCAGGGATCTGGGATTGATAGAGAAATGGAGAAGGCTGCGGCAGTGCCCTCGAATGCCTAAGCTGTCTCTGGTCAGGGCTGTTAACAGTGGAGGTGGGTAAAGAGGGACACCTTTTATAGCCACACCAATGCTCAGACCCTCAGTGGAAATGGCAGGATCTCATTTGCCCTGTGATGCTCCAGGCCCCACCTCACAGGCCTGCCCCTCCCTTCCCCAGTTCTAGAAACTCAAAGCCCTTCCCACCAGGCATTGTAATCTCAGTGGTAATTTCCTGGAAAGTGGCAAAGGGAGGGTGAGAACATTTTCTATCACGGTTAACAGAAGTAGATGTGAACAAGAGCAGGGCTGGGCAGTGTGGACTCTGGACTGGGGTAGGGAGGTATTTGGGGTGACTTGGTGCAGCAAATTTAGAAGTAGGAAGAGCCCTGATCTTTTCAAAGGGTTCAGGAGGATATTTCAAGGATATTTCCTATGGAGACACTACCCTCTACCATAGTTATGTCTCTAGGCTAAAGAAATGGAAAATGTTTGGGTCAGGGAGTCAGACAGACTGAACTCAAGCCCCAGAACTGCCACATCTTGTTGGTGATACAAAATAAGTGACACCTCTCTGTACTTTACTTTCATGGCTCAGTTCCTGCCTTTCCTCTCAATCCCCTGCCCTCCAAAACTGACAGTGAGGGACAACTTGGTCCGGAGGTGGGGGACATGGGCTGCTGCTGGCCAACTATTACTTACCCTCCCCAAGCCTGGAAAGTGGGGATAATATGGTGTCCCCATGTCTTGGCATCATTGCAAGGATGAAAAAGGATGTCACATGATGGGTCAAAGACCAGGAGCTGTCCATACCAGTACCCCTCTTTCTTACCCTCTGCTGATGTCCAGCAATGTCTGGTGTATCTACTTCATACATAACTTCTGAATCTGCCTACTTCTCTCCAGTTCATGGCTCCTGCCTTGGTCCAGGCACCACCATCTTCTACCCAGAGCTGCCTCCTCATTGGGCTCCTGCTGCCTTCACCTCTACCTCTAACAGTTCTCTCTACAGAAGCCACAGGGAATTTTTTAAAATGCCAATTTATCAATTCACTCCCTTGAAAACCCACCCATGGCTCTCCCCATTTCATCCTATGAGGTCTTGTGCGGTCCAACCCCTGCCCACCTCCCCAGACTCCCCTCTCGCTCTCCAGCCACACTGTATTCAGCTCCTCATACACCTGATCATCTTGAGTCTGAGGCTTTTCATAAGCTGTTCCTTTTCATTGGCATACCCTTCCCTGTGCTCCTCTTGGCTGACTTCTCTTTATACTTCAGGCTAAGCTTAGATGCCACCTCTTCCAAGCAGTTCTTCCTCATGCCCCATCCCCTAATGCTGGGTCAGAAGCCACCTTTGGGCTGCACAACACCCTCATCTCTCCAGGTGGTATGAATCTGTCTCTACCATGAACCTGTGAGCATCTGTTTGCCTCTGGCTGTGTTCCCAGTGCAGGCTTGGCACACAGTAGGTGGCTAATAAATGCTTTCTGAACAAGCTACAGAAAGGTCCAGCTAGACAAGGTGCTTTCCTGTCTTGAGACCAGCACCCTGGATCCCCATCTGACTCCTCACCTGCCTGAAGCTAGGCCGTGGCTTTGATCTGTCTTTCGAGCCCCAATGGTGAACACCACACAGGCACTGGGCTCAGTCTCTCCAGGGGGCCTGAAGCGGCTTGATAATGGTGGTAGCAACGGGGTTCCTGAGAGGCGTCTCCAGATGACACCACTGCCAAGGGGACTCACAGGGGCCGAACCAGAATCTGAAGACTCTCGAACCCGCTGGGGAAACAGTGGCAAGACATCAGTGAGTTCCTAGTACTGCGACCTCCCTGGGGCCCTGGGGACCATGAGACTCTGAGATGCCTTCACCCAGATACCTGGACTGGCCCAGAGAGTTGAATCTCAGCCCTGCTTTCCCCCTGAGTGAATTTAGTTCTCTGAGTCTCAGTTTCCTCGTCTATGAAATGGGGAAGTGGACTTCAACCTTGCAGGATGTGAATAGTGCCTGTCCCACTATAGGCGTTACAGAAATGTTTATTCATTAATCAATTAATACATAGTATATTCATTATTGATAACATTATGTAATATATATTGCTATTTGTTATAATAATATTCACTGTAGTGGTATTTTATCAAATTACATTATTTATTAAAATATAAAAATAAAACATGCAGTAAGTAAATAAGTGAATAATAATTACAGTACCAATAGCTAACCTTTCTTGCACACTAATTCCACACAGGTGCTATTCTAAGGATCCTTTGTGGATTAGCTCACAAGGGCACAATGAGGCCACTTTATACCATTATCTTCATATTACAAATAAGGAAACTGAGGCTCAGAAGTTTAGTGATTGCTCAAGGTTGCAATTGGTAAATAAATGGTGGAGATGGGATTCTAGATTATGAGCCTCCGTTTATTTCTTGAAGGAAAAACTGAATAGGAGAAATTAAATGAGGTGTTGTTTGCAAGCATGCTCTGAGTAAACATTTCAAACTTTTTAAAAAATCAAACAGAATCAGGTTGATTTGAAGAAATGGAAGTGTGAGCTCTCCAGCCCAACATATCTGGGCTGGGTTCAATCCATTCTATATGGTCTAGGGCAAGCATGCCTCAGTTTCCCCATATACAAAATGAATGAAAATAGTACCAATTCCTCAGCATCATTGGTGATAAAAGACAGGGGGGCCACATGCACCAGCTACAGGCTGGGAGCTGTCCGCGGTACTGACCCCAGGACCTGGCACCCAAACTGGAACCCACAGCCAAGGGTGTGTGTGCTAGGAGTCAAAGAAGTAAATGGAGATGCAGGAGAGGTGGAATTTACAGGGCGGCCCAGCCTTCCTTTGCTCTGCCCATGAGCCTCCCCACTGAGACTGTCTCCACCATCAGAGTAAACATTCATATGGAAAAACTGAGGTCCAAGACCACAAGGGTGATCAGGGCCAGAGCCAGGGTGAGAGGGGCAGGGAAGAATCTGAGAGGAGTGCATATCAGGTCCTCTGCTGGTGCAGGCACACTACATAGTTCATTTCCTCCTCTTATTTCCATGTCACAGAGAAGGATGTTAATGCTCAGAGAGAAATGACCTGCTGCGGGTCACACAGCTGGGGGCCTCTCCGCTCCCCCACCCACCTCTTTGCACAGATCTATCTGATCCTTCTAGAACCCAGGATTCATGATTGTCTTTCCCATTTGAGCACAACTGACCATCCCTCTCGCACCGCTGGCACCTGAATTAGGATGCAGAAATCTAAGTAATCAACACTCAGCCTCCCCCAGAAGGGGGGAGGTTCTCAGCAGCTGGGAAGGTGTTCAGGGAAAGGAGAAGGTGAGGTGAGTTTGGACAGAGGACCCACTGATGTCAGCTGCCCATTTTCTGCTCAGGGAAACTCAGTTCTAGATGGGAAAACTACTATTCACTCATTTATTCATTCAACAGATATGCAAAGATAGTTCCCATAATGCTAGAAAGAAAAGTAAACCATGTGAGAGCCTGGAGAGTGATGGAGTGTGTGTGAATAATGTCACTTAGGCATAGTTAGGGGCCTTTCTGAGGAAGCGACTTTGAGCTGAGACTTGAAAGAAGAGAAAAAGCTGGCCAGGAGAGAGCTCGGGAAACAGCACACCAGGCAGTGAAAAAATAGCATGTGCAAAGGCCCTGAGGTTGGAGTAAGCTGGTGGGTTTGAGGAACAGCAGAAGGTGGGAATGGAGCAGGGAGTTGATACAGGGCCTCAAGGGTTGGATGAGGATTTAGGAGTTGGAAGTTGATTCTGGGAGTGGATTGAGAGCTTTCAAGGGATGTCATTTGCTTTATGATTGTAAAAAGCCCCTTGTGCCTGCTTCAGGGAGTAGGGACTGTTAGGGGCAGGGCAGAGGCTGGACAGCATCTGGTAGGATATGGACCAGGGTGAGGTCCACGAGTAGATTTGGGATGTGCTTTGGAGGCTAAGAGACAGGCCATGCCTGTGGGGTGTTCAAGGAGATTCAAGGGTTAACTAGTGGTTATTATGGGTGATTAGTCATTTCACAGTTAAATAGTAGTTACAATTACCTGGGTAGGTAGGGCTACCATTACATGAATGCAAAGGTGGGGGCAGGATTTGGGGGAAAGCACCAAGATCTGGGCCAATTCAGGTTCAGTTTGAGTGTCATGTGATTCCCAGGGGGAGCCAATAAAGATAGCAAG